CTTTTAATAAGAGTTATAACCCTCACTAAAATTATATATTCTTGTAGTGGTATTGAAACTTAAAAAATTAAATTGAAATATAATAATCTTGGTTAGATTTATGAATATTTATACTATTCAATAGATATGTTAAACTTAAATTACATTAAACATTAAGTACATTCATTCATAAATAATTGGATTGATGGATACCATAAATTCATGACTAGATTCATAAAATTTGGATTTGGTTCATGATTATTTATATTATTCAAATAGTATAAATAAATTTAAATTCAAAATTTTAAATGATACCAAAATATGAAATATAATTATTCATAATTAACTGAGTTTACAAATACCATAAATTAATGAATAACTATTTTTATAAATAATTAGATTTATGTAACCTAAAGTAAAAAAATAAAAACATTAATTAATAATAGTCTAAACCTACATATAATACAAATAAATTTATATTATACAAAAATCAGAACATTAAAAACAAATAAAAAAATGCCCGATAATGTCTTAAAAGTCTTTTTAAGAAGACCATGGTCAATTAGAAAAGACTCTACATAATAAAATACATGTATGGTAGATATAGCAGTAGCATGTTTTCATTGCATAATTTTCAATCAACTTTGCTTCTAATCTTAAAAACTTTAGACTTTTGGGGAGTTAAAGCCGAAACATTTTATGGATTTTGAACCGAGAATTATGAAACAAGAGAGAAGTGTCTCGTTACTCTTTTATTATTTTCACACAAATTATTTAAATAAGCTTTTTAAATTTTATCACTTTATTTGAATAAGTGTTTATATTTTTATTCCACCAAAATAAATTTTTTATTTTTTATTTTTAATTTATATCCAAATAAACTCCTAAACCTTAATTTGTATTCAAATAAATATTTAATCTTTAATTTGTACATAAATAAGTTTTTGATATAAATTAATTTTTTATTTAAAGTAAGGGTTTATACTGGTACAAATAAAAATATAAAGATTTATTTGGATACAATAAAAATATAAAAATTTATTTAAATAGAATTAAATATTTTTTAATATTTTAATATTTATTTTTTTATATTAGTTAAAAATCATAATATACAAAAAAGTTTAAATTAAAAAACTTAACTATTGAGTTTTCCAAATTGTTTCACATGGGATAATTTTAAATTCATACAAGGGCTGCAACCCTGAATCTGGTTTAGCATATGCAGTGTTACATTTATGTTTACAATAAATAGATACATTTTCTAGAAGTTACTGCAATAAATAGATCTTAAATGCTTGTGATGACTGATGAGTACTAATAAAACTTTTATAAGAGCGCTCTTTAAGTCTAGTTAATTCTCTACTTATGGTAATATTTTTTCATTAAATGTGGTAGCTGACACTTGACTTAATATGTTAATTTCCAATGCATTGGAAAACATATTATTTTTAATTTGTATAATTTAACTGCTCGCATTACGCGTTGAGTGGATTTTTTGTGCTAATAAAATTAATAGATAAATAGCAAAAATGATCAAAAGTAAACAATAGTTATAATTTTTTTATTTTATTTTTTGGAATACAAAAGATGATTTCATTGATCATTTATTGATAGACACATCCTCCACAACAATAATACTAATAAATTTTGAATATGGTTGAAACATTTTACCTAAAATTGTTTTACTACTATCCAACATTTGTCTCACTATAATAAAAAATTATATAAGAATTTATCGCTTATAAATTTGAATTACATATAAAATTTTAATATATCTTACATAATTTTAAATTACGATTGGTTATTTATACTACTATCATTGTAGGTGAAATGCTCCTTCTTCAACCTAGTACAAATATAAATTTAAATTACATATAAATTTTTGATAAATCTTACATAATTTTAAATTATGATTGGTTATTTATATTACTATAAGTGAAATGCTCCCTGTACAAATATGTCGAAAGAAGTAATATAGCAACTTGAAAAAAGCAAATTGGACAAATAATATAAAATAAAATCAATCAAAAACGAAAACTAAAACTAAAATGACATAAAAAATAGGATTTTTATTTGATACTATATGCTATACTTTATTAGAGTATCACTAGTCACACCATCATTAATTTGTTTTAGAGTAATTAAATATGTTAAAATATTAATTTTTAAGAATTTTAGAATGAAAAGTGAAAACTAAAACTCTTAAAAAATATGTATAATATGATTTGATATGCACAAATTCTAATATTATTTTACTCAAAGGCATTAAGCATACTATAAATCACATTAAATCTTGTAAAAAGAATAAAATTTTAACATAAATATTTTATCAACATTAAAAAAACCAAAATAAATGTGAAATGTGGATGTTGACCAATGGGCAAAAGTAAATGTTCTAGATTTGTAAGGAAAGAAAATTTTTTCATCTAAGCAGGATAGAATAATAGAGAGCATATTTGGTTGGAAATTGGGTAATGATCAAGACAATTTATCCTGCTTAAATTACTTTTTTTTTGGTCAATTAAAATTATTATGTTTGTCATCAAAATTTAATCTCCAAAAATTTTGATCACAAAACTATTTTTAGATTGTGATTTTTTTTTAAAAAAAAGGTTCAATATTTATTTATTTTTAATGAGAAGGAATGATTGGCAGAAGTGTAAGAGCTAAGAAAAATATAAAATTTTTTTTTTGCTGTATGAAGTACGAAAGATATTGTAACTAAATCCTGAAAGGTTCCATTGTCAGTTTTATTGCTTTCATGCTAGCTTGCCAATCTTCCTTTTAGATTCTATTTTGTTGTAGATAAAGCTTGTTGCCACATCCCATTGTCTCGAAACATAGTTGATTTTGGTTTTTGGGCTCAAGAAACATGATTAAACCTTTGAAATGCTTGAGCTGCTATATAGATCACAGGAAATAAAGTTTGCACTAGGACAAAGCCCATTTTCAGTTATAAAGTGTAACCCGAACTTTCAGTCTAAAAGAGTGGGAAGGTGAGTGACCATGGATGCAGTTATAGCCTTACGAATTGTCAACACTTTCTTTTCAATTGAATTAAAAAAAAAATATTGCTAATATAGAAAGGAATTCTAATTGCACCACCATTTTTATCCTATACACGTCACCATTTTTTTAATTTTTTAAATGAAATTATTAAAATATTCTTCCAAAAAATCATAATACTTTTAGAAAATGCATTTTCAAGAAATTATAATATTTTTCATAAATACATTTTTAAAAATGGTAAAAGTGAAATTTTATGAAAATTAGAAAAAGAGAATTTTGTTAAAATTATTTATAAATAAGTATAATAAAAAAGTTATTATTAAAAAATCATAAATTTTAAAATTAATAAAAAATTTTATTTTTATTATTTTTATCTTAAAAAAATAATATCTTATGAGATTTTAATAAATTAAAGATAAAATAACAAATATAATTTTTTATAAATTAACTTTTTTTTGTATCATTTTTTAATAACCTCAAGTTAGTCTAATTTTTTTTAACATTTTTTCTATTGATTCTCAAATTTGTATGTGGTCGAGAACATGATAATAATGATTTTTTCCTAAAACCAAGCTCCTAGTTTAACTCAATATTTATGCTCTCGCCGACCAATTCCCGGGAATAACTTGCTTGCATTTTCAATACTAGGTGGTTTATTATTTTCATTAAGATTTAAGGGTACCTAATTAGCTTAATGATGTAGATATCCACTATGCAAGATACAAAATAATTTTTTTCTAAAACTAGATGAGTCTATTTTTTTTATGTTTTCGAAAATTTATTTTCAAAAAAATATAATAATCTTTAGAAATAAATTTCGAAAAATTATTTAATATTTTCAAAAATAAATTTATAAAATTTATATTATATTCTTGAAAATAGATTTTTGAAAACGATAAAGCTTGTGCTTGAAATGCTTTTTCAGAGCCTGAGAAAAGCGTACCACTTGAAAGTTTTAGACATGTTTTTTACGTGAAAAATAAAATAAAAAAGTAAAATTATTGTAAAGATTCGAAAACATCAATTTTTATTGTCTCAACTTGACAACTCAATCTGTAAATCCCGTTGTCTTCTTGTAAAAGTATTATTTTTTTATTAATTTTAAAATTTATAATTTTTTAATTATAATTTTTTATTACATTAATTTATAAATAATTTCAATAAAATTTTTATTTTTAATTTTTTATGAAATTTCACTTTTTCAAAAATTTATTTTTAAAAAATATTATGAGTTTTTGAAAATTTTTTTTTGAAAAGTATTATAATTTTTTGAAAATACATTTTTGATAAGTGTTATAATTTTTTTAAATGCATTATGAGAAATGTTATTATTTCTCGAAAATAGTAAATATCTAAAAATTTTTAAGCATATTTAAGTAATTTTATTTATAAAAATTTTGAAAAAAAAAGTGAAAGCATATAAAACAAAAATAACGGTGCATTTATAATTCCCTAGAAATTAAGAGTGGTTGCACCTCAACTTTCTCTTTTTACACCCCATTATTATTATCTAATTTTTTACTTAACACATCTTAAACTTAAAACACAAATTTACTAAAAACCTAAATGCTTTATCTCTTCTTTTTTTTCAATTGAAAACTTAAAAGATTTTAATTCCCATTCAAACCAAATTCAAAAAAAGAAAATTTCACCTATTTGAAATTTAAAAAATGTAAAATCAAAAATAAATATTTTATTTATTTATTTTTTTCTTTAATTTTGTATTTAATTTTATAAGATTTCACGTTAAAATATTTGAATGCGATTCAAAACTTTCATAAATAAATTTTTAAAAGTTTTTAAAGATTTTCAAAAATATATATAAAAAAATATTTAAAAACTTTAAAAATTTTAAGGTTTTTAGAAATAAATGTGAAAAATAAAATGTGAAAAATAAAAAAAATAATTAATTAATAAATTTTTAAATAAATTTTTTTTAAATTAAATTTTTAGAATGTATTAAAAAAATTTGGGGCGCAAATAACAACCCTAAAACAATTAATATCATCTACCACTTTTGTTTCCATAACTACTCCACAAGTCATTATTAATTCCGGACGTGATCTGTTCGAAAATTGCAATCGAAATCAGCATGGGATTGCTTTACATATACGTATTGATTCCCATCTCTGGTATCCTTAATTGAACACAGAACAGCACCCATTCTCGATAATATATATATATATATATATATATATATATATCAACTAAAAATTTAAATTACAGAGCAAGTTTCGACTACTGCCTGGGTTTTGCGAATCTAACGAGTAGGTAAGGTTTTTTCACTTCTTCTCATTTGATTTCTTCCTTTTTATTCTTCATGTATGGTATGGACTAGGATTCGATATGAAAATTTTGGTCTTGGCAAATACTACAAAGGAGAATATGTATTATTATGATACACTCCAATTGCAACATAAATTGCCTCCAATTTTCAGTACCCACACCCAGTGTTCCACGAACTTGTATCCAAGTGTATGAGAAAATGCTTCTATGAGTTGTGATGCAAAAGGGAACCTAAATTTCTGGGGATAATATTTTGTTTCTTTTGAACGGTACTGTTTCTTTGCTAATGAAATTGCAAGATCTTTTTTTCTTTGAATGTTTCTTTCCCAACCTCCTAAATTGCCCATGGTTCTTGCAATTCTCACTTCATAGGCAATGTTTTACGGTTGCAATGTTAAGCTTATTACTCTCTTTTTTCTTGTGGTAATTTTCTATGCTGTCCAAACACCTTCCACTTTTACATGATAGTAACTGAGGTCACAAATTTAATGTGCAACTTCAGGTAACTCTATTCAATTAGCCTTCAACTTTACTTGTTTAAGAAAGTAGAGCATTAAGAAATTTTATTCAAATTTTGAGGATCGGTTTCGTTTTTTACTCATATTTTTATTTTTCCTCTCTTTCCCCACCCCCGGGTATTACCAAACCACTATATAGTTGTGGTCGCAAAAGGCAAAGTTTGTAAACTTTTATCTTGACTATGATCATTTCAATGCTCGTGTTGTTTTCTAATTGCCTAAAACTTTGGAACGTTAAGCTTTTTTACAAATTAACAATACCTAAATGTGTCATGTCAAGAATTGGCTTCGCAATCCCATTTGGGATCAGATGCTGGGAGTCGTAGTAGCTTCTTATTATGTACTGGATAGTTGATGTCATAACAATCGTTGAAATAACAAATCAAGGACATGTGATTAATGATGCTGCATTCTACAGAGAATGAGAGGTCCACGTAAACTTGAGGTGTGGAAAATGGGTGTTGTCAACTACTTGGATGCACTTAAGCTGCAAGAGAAGCTGGTCTCTGATAGAAAAATTTGTAAGATTCCAGATACTGTCCTGTCCCTGCAGCATCCACCAACATATACAGTTGGAAAACGGCAAACTGATCACAATTTGTTAATACCTATGTCTGAATTGAAAAATATAGGAGCTGAGCTTCATTATACACAAAGGGGAGGAGACATTACGTTTCATGGTCCCCGTCAAGCCATCTTATATCCTGTTATTGCTCTCCGTGAAATTGGGTTTGGTGCTAGGAATTATGTGGAGAAACTTGAGTCAACTATGATTGAACTTGCATCTTTGTATGGTGTGAAAGCTTGTTCTGGCCAAAAGGGTGAGACGGGGGTTTGGGTTGAAGATAGAAAGATTGGTGCAATTGGTGTCCGGATATCATATGGAATAACCTCGCATGGGCTGGCATTCAACATTGATCCGGATTTGAAATACTTTAAACATATTGTGCCTTGTGGGATTGCAAATAAAGAAGTTACGTCTTTGAGAAGGGAGACTGTTACTGAGCTTCCTGCTGAAGAAATCATTCATGAGCAATTAATTTCTTGTTTTGCAAGACTTTTTGGTTATAGTACTATCACATGGAAGGAGAATCCTTTGATATTGTCTGATAATGAAGAAATAGAGTGAGTTGTATCTAACATTACGTGAAATGATTTGACTATGTAACCTTTGATTAATTCATTCATGGAAGAAAATTAATTAAACTTTCTGATTTTATTCTGTGACTGAAAGGTGAATCCAATTTAGAGATCCTCATTGATGTTGGACTCTGGACAGCTAGAAGATATTGGCAAAGTTGAATGATGTCTAAACTGTCATCCAATCCAGGTATAAAGTGGGTGACATGCTTTAGGATACCTCAAACTTTTTATTTTCATAAATGGATGGATAGGTCTGCTTAAAGGGTGAATTTACTTTTCCTGAGCTTTGGAGCATTACCCATGTTTTATCTTTTGGCCAACGGAAGGATAACCGAAAATCCAAATCCAGCCATAGTATTCGGGTTTGGATCACTTTGAATGTTTTTGGTGTTATCAGTTCCATTTCAGTTCAGGTTGTTATGGAATATATTTTGTTTATTTTTCTATTTTGACTTAGAGAAATTTAAAAATCCAAACCGAGCCTAATCAAAATTTTTATTAATTTGCATGCTTATTTAACTTTTAGTATAAAATTAAAACACTATTTTCTTATTAAATTTGTGTAGATAGACCCAAACAGTTACTAAAAAATAATAAAACTTTATAACATTTAAAAATGAGAAAGCATTTCATCTTCAATTGTTTTTACTATAATATTATAATTGTTCAATCATAATAAAGAATCATGTAAGAGTCATCACTTATAAGTGTGGGTTTTATATAAAATTTTAATGGATTTCTCATAATTTTAATTTGTGATTGGTTAACTATAAAACAATGATTTTAGGTAATATATATCTTAAGAATAGGTGACTGTTCCAATCTGAATATTGAATTCAGTTTGGGTTTTGACGATTTGCGGTTTATCATCATTCTTCCATTGAAGAATAAAAAACTACAATTTATTTTTCTTTCTTTCTATATGAATAAAAAAAAAAACCAAATAAAAATTGAACCAATCCTTATATACAAATGGTTGCACTATGGGGCAGTTAAAAACCTCAAAAATGGATGAAAAGTGATAATTTCTAGGAACCATATCAGGGTTGTTGAGTAAAAGTAACTCTTTTTTATTTATTACTTCTTGATGCAGGTTGTTTCAACCTCGAAAATCTTAACCCCATATGAAAAACTGCTCAGGTAGTTTTGGTACCGTTTGAACCCCATTTGACCTAGTACAACAGTGTCAATAAAGGGGTGGTTAACTTGGAAGCCTATGCAGTGACGTATAATCTAGTTCTAACAAAATGGCTATGGTTCTTGGCTGCACAAAAACTGATTTAGTCTATTCAAATGTGCTTTTCATATATATATATATATATATATATATATATATATATATTCCTTTCAAATACAACTCTCAGGAGTCCTTTGACCAGATTTTATATAAATAGTTTTCCAATTTTATCCCCATGACAATTCCTAAGAAGATGGGAGAGCAATATATACATGTAGACTTCCCTCCTGTCCATTGAATTTGACAGCTGACTAATCACAGATGCGACATCATATATATGCATATATTGGGGGAAACCTGACAAATATAGAAATAAAGATCTTTTCAACATGCTTTTATATTTGTTAATAATGTCTGGCAGCCATAGACTTCCTTTATTATGTCACCAAGTTGAAACCCATGTTCTATGTTCAATTAGTTCTTGAATCTGAGGAATACAAATAGAAATGAAGAAAATTTTAGATTAAAATAAGTGCATCACTCCTTAATCACAGCTGCGAGCGTGCTAAACTTAATTAAGGAAAAAGATTATGTTTATGTGCAAAAACATAGCAAGGATCAACAGGAAAAGACCCTATTAGAACCCAAGTCAAATTAGAAAAGATCACAATTGGAAGGCACTTTCCTATGATATGATGGGTGATTTTTTTTTTTTTTTTTAGAAAGCAGGATTACCCAGCTAACTTTAGCTGTTTCTGTTACACTTAACAGAGATACAAAACTGATTACTAATTTAATAAGCAAGGTAGGACAGACAAATGATGCTACTGATTTGGTCTCATGTGAGTGGTCACATGAGACATGTTATCTAATATTTGAGGATTGCAGAGAAGTCAGAGAAATATACTACTCAATTCAGCATCACATGATCAGCTACTTCCTAGTTCCAACCCATTAAAGAGCAAAGAAAATGAATAAGAATGTATCTAATCAAGAAGATGTTATTGGGACTGAGGTCAGTCAAATTTATGCTTCTATAAAATTCTAAACCCCATTATGACTGGAAGTCCCAACATGCACTTTGATATTATTATATGGACTTACTGGCCTACTTTGCGGTCATCAATTTACTCTAATCTAATCTGATGTTTGGTTAAGACCGGGTTGCTAATAAGTTGCGCTTATGAGTATCTTTGCTCCAGTTATTTTAAAACCTGATTGGAAATAGTTTAGATCTATCTTTAGAAACCAGACAAGTTAAATATGATATTGAATTTAGTCTGAACACATGATACCTAGTCAGAATAGGAATATTCATCTTCCAAACGGTGTTATTTTTAGGACAGTAGTAATTGTCTAGTTACACACACACACACACACCATATATATATATATTACACTTGTATTAATGTAAGACATGCACTGTCATCTTTCCTGAAGATATTTCTGAATGTCTTAGCTCCAAAGTCATCTCTATTACATTTCTTCTCCAACTGAATAACACTATGAAATTCATTCATAAAGCTTTGTTTGTTGTCCTTGCCTTAGTACATTTCCATTTACTCATCTGTTCTCCACTGCCCCTCCACTGTTGCAGAATCACTCATCCAAGAGTTAGAAACCAACCAAGGAGAATGTTAGGTTCTTTTGCTTCTATTTCTGCAAATCTGAACAAGTTGAGTGGAGCCATTAAAGATCCAAAGAAAGCCGTGGGGACAAGTCTAAGAAAAGCACCACCGAGTGCTTCAAATCCCACCCAAAACAAGTAAATCCAATGTTTGTCTAGAGATTTGAGGAAGAAAGAGAAATCAAGTCTCAATTCTCTTTCAACATTTTTGCAGTTTTCTTACTTTTACTGTTGGATAGGTAGGAAAATTGGATCTCTTTTTTTTTTTTTCTTGCATTGTATCCACAAATTATTCATTATTTTTTTTTTTTTCTGCAAGTCTTGTTTTGCAGTAGATTTAGGGATGAGATTAAAATGTATTTACAGAATCCTGACCCCGTAAGAAAACATCTGAAATGGTATAGTTTGTTTCAGAAGATCACCAGTATCTTGTTGGTGATATTTATGCTAATGAATACTTTGTTTTCTTTTCTTTTTTTTTTTTTTCCATTGCCATTTTGGTCTGAATTATTTAACTTGTTTTTGCAGTGACACTTCCTGCAGAAAATGCAAATTCTTATTTGAACCATCTTTTCTCTTGGTCTTTGTAGTTTCTTTTCATGTGGCTTTATGTGACGAACAAAACAAGATTGGTTTACCATATTCTTTTGTTTATTTTTCTAGGTAACATGATCCATGAGACAGATCATGTAAAGACAACTAAACATGTTAGCTCCCAAATAATAATAATGCTGCTAGAAATCCTTTTAGGTGGAGAAGTAGAGAGTAGAACTTTTACAGCCTAAAGCTATGTGGACTCTCTCTCTCTCTCTCTCTCTCTCTCCCCCTCTTTCTCACACACGCGCGCGCACACAAGAATGTCTTTCCAAGTTATTGTCCTCTTCCCCCGTGTTCATGTTCCTCATCTAGTTTATTAATATCCTCTCAGCTATGATTTATTGCTTCTCCCTGTTCCAAACTTCCATTGGTTAGCTTTCTGTCATTACTTGATGCAAAGCGCTGATTGCTTTATGATCGATCAGATTTATAGCTTTTGCATCTTAACTTTTGATGGAATGGAGATGTCTTGCGTAAGAGTTGATCTGTTTTGCCCTGCTTAGGCGCCAAGGGAAACATAGTGTTTCTTTCTACATTAAAGAAAAAGGGCTAGGCTGCATAGGATCTCTATCTATTCCTGCCCATTCTTTGCATAAAATTATGCTGAGTGAACTGTCGGCGCAGTCTGATATAACTGAAGTTATTCTTGAATTGATCATGGGAAATTATAATTCAAGTATAACCACATAGTATATTAGAAACTTATGCCATCAAAATATACTAGATTTGATTTAACTAGTTATAAAGTCAAAATTTACAATATAGTAGTTTCATTTAATTGAACAATTGCATCTCTGGATTGAAGGTGTTAATCTGATAAATAATCACAGAACTGAAGAAAAAATTCTCATATCGTAGAATGATAAAGTTTTGAATATAATGAGACCATAGTATCATCATAAATTAAACTTTGAAAAAGAAGAATGCATACAGCAAAGTACTTTCATCTAGATCTGAAGAAATTAGTCATTAGGAAAGGAACTAGAAGTCTACTGCTGATAATAACATAATTTCAAATATTTACTATTTGTTTTTGGACAAATTATTAGCAGATTTTATAGATTGGAAGTTTGATGATGTAGACTGCAGCTAAACAGTGTTGTGCAGTTCTTACTTATCCGATCAAAGGTTTTGGGATTTAAAACTCTTATGGAACTACTCTCACAATTCTATTCCAACTTCAATAGCACAAACAACCTCACACCTAGGATATTTGATTGTACATCATTTGTTCATGTTCATAGTCATAATAGGGGCAGTTGAATCCTAGAGTAGTTAAGTATATTTGTGTGGGGTATTTATCAACTCAAAAATAGTATAAGTGCTATCATCCTCTGACCAAAAAATTCTATGTGTCTACAAATATCTCTTTTGAAGAAAGTAAATCTTTTTTCACTCAACCTTATCTTCAGGGGGAGACTTCATTCATGGAAGATAAGGATAAAGACTTCTTTTCTTGACTTGTCTTAACTTATCCTCGTCTTTAATATTTTCACCCATTAATTTTTCTGAGCCTAAACCTGTTGTTTCCTCCCTAACATTTTCATCCATTAATTCTTCTGACTCTAAACCTGTTTCTTCTGAGTTCAAGTTAAACATTAAATTTGAGTTTGAACCCATTCCAAATATAGAAGATGTAACAAAGGATAATATTGGTCTTAATTCTATGAAAGAATTACAAGTGTACTCAGGACAAAGTTTCAGCTCTTAAACTGGTGCAAGTTCAAGAACTTGAGCCTAACTCTGAAAATGAGATAACTACAATCTCTGACTCTATTTCTCAAAATGAACATGAATCTCCTAAAACTATAACTAGTAATTATGATCTACCTATTGCCATTAGGAAAGGCACTAGAGAATGTACTAAGCATCCATTATACCCAATCTCTAATTTTGTGTCATTTGAAAATTTTTCACCATTTCACAAAAATTTCCTTGTGAGCCTAAACACTATTTCTATTCCAACTACTTTATCTGAGGCATTATCCAGTGAGAAATGGACGCAAGCCATGAAAATAGAAATAGAAGTCTTAGAGAAAAATAAGAATGGGAATTGGTAGAGTTGCCTAACAAA